TACTGCTATAGGAACAGAGAGACGGAACGCTGAGGGTCTGCTCACTTCAAGCTATGAAACATCTTCCGGACTATAATGACAGCTGTGTATTTAGGTCAGTTTCATTTGCAGGATCCATCTTGCTCTGCCTAGAGAAACAGGCTGCTTTCTTTCTTTATCATTAGGGGTCCATTACGACCACCACACCCATCGAGTTATGGATTTCTGAAATTACATTGGATGGAGCTGAGCCATGATAATGCACAAAGATCATCATTCAAGGTCTCACAGACTTCAGTCAGAGTAGACACTGTATTTAATTTGAAGTAAATGAAAATGAGGCTGTGAGGAACAGAAATAGCCTGGTAAATATATTGTGCTGCCGCTACTGTATGTACCTGCATGGGTGGCGATCATTCAACCGCGAAAATCTTGAAAACGTATTCCCAGAGGACAAACACAAATTGGGAAGACATGCCTAAGACCTGTTTTAAACTACACAAAAACAGTATATACTGTACACATACACATTTGGTCCCCACAAGAGAATATATCCCTGTACACACACACGCACCCACACACTATTTATCTGATTCTGAATCTGAACCCTGGCTCACACACACGACTTTGACTAAACAAAATGTTGCAAATTAAAAATGTTTCATGCAACATTTAAATTAAGGTTTTTAAAAGTAATCTAGCTAAAGTTCATAATGATTTTTAATCATTCTCATTGATATGTACCCCATTCAACAAAATAGGGTTTTTTTTGCATGAAAAATGCCATATGGAGACTTTTAGTCATCTAATGACATGCTCTACATGAACTTAATGACAAAATAAAAGCACATTCATCACACTTTTTTTTTTACATTGGCAGCACAAACCCTGCAAGCATATTATGAATACTCAATATAATCGTCCGTCCCTATCTGGATTTCTTTAATTCCGTCACTCCTCAAATCATTTTGACACAGGTGCTCTTAGACTCATCTCTCACACATTCCAAACAACAGACCGAAAAACCCACACTGACATTAATAGGACCTGAGCTCTGTACACACCACCATGTTTTAATGCTCCATCAACAGAATGCAGATAGACTTTCAGATGAGGAAGCAGCCTCTTCTTGTGTATCTTCAGTCCTCAGTACTTAATCTTTCTACTTTCACAGTGTTTTCTGTTTTCCTTTCTGTTGACCTTTCTCAACAATACACATTTCTTTGATTTTAGAGCGAATCGTATCTCTTGACGAGCGCTGCTGACACAGTGACCCAGCTCTGCTTGTCTCCAAAGACAACGGGAAGCGGATGAAACATGTCAGACACTGGAAAAAGTACTGACATGCTCAGCGATTGAAACGACATGTACAAACAGAGCGTCTCTGCTATTGATTAGCGTGTGAAACGAGGTCCAGCCATTTCCCACAGTGGGAAGGGTGATGCCGAGTGTCTTCTAGAGGACAAACATGCACTTTAGTAAACATAGACTTCACTTGGGCCCTGTCTATATACTGTATGAAGGAGCTAGCTGTTTACATTCCTATTTATGCCATAAAGAGCTTACGGGAACATGCTAACCTACAAAACCTGGTCGGTATGGATAATAACGAAAAAGAGAGGAAACTTAACTAAGAGTGCGAGAGAGGTGATTTCAGCAAAACAAGACGACAAAGCGAAGCAACCTTTTTTCTGCATTTACACATTAAACTGAGAGCAGGTGTCCAAAGACTTTTGCTCATCAATGCTCCGTATCTTCCTCAGCATGAAAGGCAGTCAGCCTGGCTCAGGTCTGCCACGAAGCTTTTGATGTTTAATTAATGTTCTGTTTGCGGAATATGCAAATGTAAATAAATGAATTAAAAAAAAAAAAAAAAAAAAACATACTGTAACTTGCCACCAGTGAAAGCCTGAAAGGACCAGAACATTTACTTTGTCAGAAATAATGAAACAAAGCCAAAGACATGAGCACTACTCCGCTTTACATGTTAATTTATGCATCTTTTCACTGAAGACTGGAAAACAATCCTAATGAGTCATAGAGACTGATGGTGAGAAAAGGACGGAAAAAAGAAAGATGCATCAAACACTATAGTTAGACACATATAGCATTCAGAATAAATGAGAGGGACATTTCTGTACCGTTAAAATCCGTTGAGAATCTGATTCCACCTGGATACACTTCCCATAATAAACACAATGTCCAGATCCTGTTTTTTTTTTCACTTTCAAGCCTCTCTGTGATAACTTCTGCAGTCATTTTGAGATGTTTAATGCATTTTGTCTGTACTTGCATAGTATGGACTAAAGTACATTTGGTAGAGGTCATAAGAAGACATAAAGAAACAACACCACCACGTAATTAGCAAAAAGGTTATTAATTCTCTGAGAAATAATGAACATGCATGGATTTTTTGCCTGCTTATTCCGACATCCATACTGCTTATTGAATACCGTATAGCAGGGAAGTCTGCACTATGATGTGCCACACAAGTATGCAAACGCTTCAAGCTAAGCAAGCTCGATTTCACAAATTTTCTTCTATGGCGAGATTCATTTTCTGTACTCACAGTGAAGCAACAATATGAAGATAATCTTGCCGAGTAACTTCCCAGCAAGCAATTTTGTGTTAAAAAAACAAGGAAAAATTTGGGCTGTCAGTGAAAATGTAATAGTCGTCTAAGACAAGCCCAAGAATAGACGCACAGGCAACGCATAAACATGTCAAAGAAATGAAACCAAACACCTTGTAATCACTGTTGACTTTGTTTGCATGATGGAATATCATACATCTCGCAAGTTATTTTGGCAAAAATGACATGCAACCAATTCAAGGTTATTTTCAGAAGTGGGTTACTCATAGCCAAACTATACCGGGTCTATAGTCAACTCAGACGGTGAAATGACGGCTATTGCTTGCTGGGTTAGATCTCATTAAGATTTGTACTCCTTTTCGTTTCCATTTTTGAATAGCAGCATATGGTCTGTTGCTGCCACAGTAATGCAAAAATGTACTTTGAGTAAGAGACTGCACACTTTTGACAGAGCATTTGCATCTGCGTACTTGCGTAGAGTCTGTTTCTGTCCCAACATGGCTCCTGACAATGGGGCTACATGCATGGATCCATGCAAAAAAAGGTAGCGGGGCAAACAAACTGGCCAGACGTTTGGGGAAAAGATTCATCCAGACAAACACAGCACTCAGAAGAAAGAGAAGAGCTCCATGACCTCACTTCCCCTTTACTAAGCGCAATGAGGACTCGAGCTGCAGGGAGGGCCACTCCAAACCATCCTCCATCACGCAAACAAACACAAGAAGACACAGATGAAGAGATACAGGTAGAAAGTAGACATCAAACCAGCCCTTTGAGGGCCCCCTGAAGGAGACCCACGGGTCAGAATCCCAACAAGAAAGGTCAGAGGTTGAACTCTTCCCAGCTCACAATGAGAGGTGTGTCCGGTGGCGGGCCTGAGCAGACGTCACATAGACAAAGACAGACAGAGAGACAACACTGGAAAAGAAAAAACACGGTTTAAAAACAGCCAAAAAAGGACATAAAAGGACAAAGGGGGGAAATGACAAGACATTTGAACATTGAGCGACTGGCACTGGAGGGGTGAGGAATGAAACATGAAGTCAGTGTTTCATGTGTCATTGGAGCTGATGGCAGAATGAGAACGTCATGGCAATGAAAGAGAATGAGCACCTTCCACAAGAGTTTCCCAGCAGGACATAACCAATAACAAGCAGACATACAATGATAATTAAAAAAATAGCA